AAAAAAATCATTTTATTAGGGCTCATACAACTCTGATCACAATCTATACATACATCAATTGTATAAAGAACATTTATACATTCGTTACCCTCATCATTCTCAAAACATTTGCTCTTCACGTAAGCCCCTGGCATCAGCTCCTCATTTTTCCCCCTCCTATTTTTCCCCCTACCATTTCTTACTCAAACAGGCATTGATTGGTTAGGCCTCCTAGACTTTAAAGTGCAACCTCCCACTGATAAACTTGCAGTTGACCTTTTCTGACTATTTTCCTTTAAAATTCACAAGCAAGCCAGTAGTTTCTGACATGCTATATTTCTATAAGGCTAGAATATCATTCCCACTGTTAACACTTTTCTAATCATGTCCACATTTAGTATCATAAGACCAACTATGATTATATCTGCTTCCCAGCTGAGATGCTGAGACATGGTGATACTAAGGGGCTTGCATAAGATCACAAAGCTTACAGTCATACGCTGGACAATGTAGCAGCTTGCAAAAAATAGAAATGAATATACCGTTCGAACTTCTGTATTGAAGTGACCAGAGCAGTGTCTGGCACAGAGTAGAATTCAATAAATCCTTGTTAAATGAATGAATGGACTTTTCTCTCCAGGCCTGCATTGATGAAAACTTGGACATGGTGAAGTTTCTAGTGGAGAACAGAGCCAATGTAAACCAGCAGGACAACGAGGGCTGGACTCCCCTTCACGCGGCAGCTTCCTGTGGCTATCTCAACCTAGCAGAGTGAGTGAGTGAGTCTCCGGGGCTGGATCCATTGAAGGAATACATTTGAGGTTCCATTTGCTCCTAAGAATTTGCACTACATAAATAGTTTGAATTTCTCTTTATTCCGAATCCCACAAGCAGGAAATTGAACCATTTTTCTTTAAGGAATAGTTGATAACGGTGTTTTTAAGCACCTGTCAAATCCACAGTTTTTTAGTTGTCTGTTTCTCTTTCCCAGTGAGTTCTGTTTGGTGGCACATGCAGATGTGCTGTCTGTCTGTTACCCTGTTGATTCACCTTTTTTTTGGCAACTGTAGCTAGACGTGTGGATAGGACTGGAGAGATTTTTCTTGACTTCTTTACAAGCCTGATGTATTGTTTAGCAGTAACCAGTACTTAGTACAAATACAGAGAGAATGTCTGCCCTGCTGAGCACAGAACTCATTTAGTTCATAGCAGAATGAGCGTAAAATATGGAACAAAGAAAAGGTAGGAATTGACATGTTCTCTACACATTAATCACGTGTACATACATGTTCAGTAAGACACAAGTAGCTACTAACTTCTATGACATCTAATTGTCCCTCCTTTAAACAAAAGAATCCTGACCACATAGTACTTGAAATATGAGAGACACTAAATAAAAATCTGTTGAATGAAGACATGATCACGGAGGTTATTTTTAAATAGTAATGAGGTTTTGGCATTTGAAACTATCTTTAAAATGCAGGAAGTGAGTGTAATCCAGTTAAGGTAATTTAGTTTGCTAAGGTAAATTCCTAAATACAGCTGTGAGATTAAGTGGGCCATTGAAAATCAGATTTCTTGTTTTAAGCCCTTTTCCATAATGTGATGAGAAGTCCACTACATTTCTCTGATTCAGCAAACAGCCAGGAGAATTACATTGGCAGCTCTGAAGAGGCCTGGGGATGACTTCCCATAGGGTCTGATTTGCCCGGATTTCCCTGGGAGAGAGCCTGTGTTCTGGGTTTGCTCTTGAGCCAGGGATGCTCAGTGGGAGAGGTTGAACAAAGCAAGAGGCAGAGGCAGAGAAATACTAGGCAGCAGCACTGGTGTTTCACTGGGCTGCTTGTTCTAAAGAGTGCATGACTGGATGGGTCCCAAAGCCAACAGAAATGAACAATGCCGGCTTCTTCGCTCTGCTCTAATTTAGAAAAAGTCAGTCACCAATTCCTCTCCCAGTCTGCCGTCTATCCCTGTCGGAATCTTGTAGGAAAAGTTCTGATCCTCAGCCCGAAACCACTTCAGATGCTGAAGAGTTAGATTTCAATTTTTACTGGGGTGTCCAACAAACATTTATAGAACATACAAGGGAGTTTCAAAGAGTTCATGAACAAAGTCCAAAAGTCCATTATCCATAAATCTTATGAGGCCTCCTTGTTGTAGCCCCTCATTGTCAACATCTGATTATTTGTTCAGGTGGCATGTTTGTGATTTTTGAGCTACTGGAGCACATTACATTGAAGGACTTTCTTGTTTTCCCAGTGGAAGGTAACAAGCAGAGCTCATGCCTAGAATTAAGATCACTTGAGTTGGCATTAGCCACGGACTTCCTCTTCCTCTCTCTTTGTGAGGTTGAGCACAGAGAATAATTGTAAATGCTAAGCGGTTTCAGTGATTCTTCTTTATGGATGAACACAGCTCCTTAGGCAATAAGATTAGAACTTAACAATCTTTTCCAAACAAATATTACCGTGAATGAGAGCTACTGCTTCCTCATACAAATTATTACTGATTGGATGTGTGTAAATCTGGCTCAGGGAGATATAGTATAGACCAGAATCCATTGTAGGGGCTGAATAGTGGTAGGATCGTCTTTTAAATTTTTCATTATGTCTATAATCATTAAGCAGGTTTTGACTTTACCATCATTTTTTACTTAGAGTATCTAAGATGGTTTTTGCCTAATGGGAAAGAACTCCAGTGTTTATATTATTCATTTTGACAGAGTTACCCTGTTGTCGTAGGTGCCGTCCAGTCAGTTCAGACACACAGCAGCCTTGTGCACCACAGCAGGAAGCACTGCCTGATGCTGCCCCACCACTGTTGTTCCTCTGCCTGAGCCCATGGTGTTGGCCAGCTCCTTGAGGACCTATGAGCCGTGTTTAGATAAGATCCATCACTGGTCATCGTGTCATTTTCTTTTTCTAATTTAAAAATTTCACATATTGTACTCTGATTTTAGAACTTGAGCTTTTACAAGAGTGCAAATGGATAAAGGGAAAATTAACTGGCCCAGGAAGAAGCCAAGGGCATTTGATTTTATATTCCGTGATGGCCTTTATTGAACTTAGTTTAGTAATTTTTCCCCCAAGATGAAAAAAAGGTCTAGAGTCTGTTTCTTCCTCATTTTATTTTGAGTTGTGGCTTCATGCTACTTAGGTGGATGTTTTATATTTTTATGACCAGTAAGAGTTTAATTTAGAAGCAGCAGATTGACCCAAGGGTATAACATTGAGTCTAGTTCTGTAGTTTATTGGGATGCTAATTTATTCTGAGTTGTTGAATACATTTCATTTTCTTTCTTCTTCCTTTAGAATACCCCCAAAAGACCTTATATCAGTGATGAGGTAGGAGAGATCGGAAGCCTTTATTTCTAAAGGGCAGCCTTATTGATCTAATGAGTGTTTCTGAACAACCCAAGTACTCACAGAGGTAAAGGAGATAGGACTTTGTAGGCTGGCATTCATTCTTGCTGAGGTAAAATGCTCAAACTGAATGAATTTTTACTTGTTTTTTCCTAAAGTGGTTTAGGAAAGTAGTCTTACTTAGCAAAAATATTTGTGTCTCTTCTAGGAGAGCCAGACTACTTTCTAGAAACCAGAGTCCTAAATCACATCCTAGAGAAAAGGGGGAAGCAGGGCCTGTGTCATGAAGTGAGGTGGACTTGATGCAGTAAAGGGTGGAGTAGATGTCGGAGCAGTGATGTCCCTGTTCGTGCAATGCAGGCACTGTGTGTGGAGCCCTAGGAGAAAAGACAATGTGTGAAGTCTCTGTGGTGACTAAAGCCACAAATGCTGCCCTCCGGTAGCTTTCAGTTTGTGATCATGGTTACATTGGGGCATGGACATATTATGACTGGGATTGGATACCCATGGGACTGCTGACTGCAAGGTCAGTGGTTCAAACCCATCAGCTGCTCTGGAGGAGTATGATGAGACTGTCCCCGTAAAGATTTTCAGCCTCAGAAGCCGTATATAAGGTCACTGGGAGTTGCAGTTGACTCGATGGCTGTGGGCTTCAGTTTGTTGCTTGTTTTCAGAGTAGGGGGTGGGGTAGGCAGAAAGGGAGGAGAGGCAATTCAGTGGGTGGGACCAGGCAAAGGCTTCATGAAGTCAGAGTGCTTTCAAGGGAGCAGGAAAGATGGGGAAGTTTTCTGTGAGGAAAAGAAGCGGGAAGGTGTTTCATCCAGACTGAGGAAACGACTTGTAGATGAGAACTCAGTGGACTGGATTTGAGTATAGTAAGTGGTTCTTTTTGGTTGGAAGGTAGGCTACAATCAGTCCAAGAACTATTGAATGCCCAAAATCAGCCAGTGAAACCCTATAAAATAAACAAAAACTTATGAATCATAATAATCACATCTGCAGCTGATTATAGGAATGGCTCATACTGAGCAGCATTCCCTTCTATTGTGCATGGGATTGCCATCAATTGGGGGCCTATTTGATAGCAGCTAACAACAACTTTGTAAACCGTTTGCATTTTGAATGTCAGTGTCGGGGAGGTCTAGCTTGCTATTTCTTTGGCTTGAGGGAGTCAAACCAGAAGAGAGAAATTAATGATTTGTGAAGTTGAAGGGGCAATTGATGAAGGGAGGACTGGTACTTGATTAGATCAATTGCACAGATGCAGGGATTGAATAAAGTCTGTTTTTCTCTGAGACAGGAATGCAGAAGAGAGATGAGTGAAAATGGGATGAATTGTGAATTCCATTGTGTTTTTTAAACATGGAATTGATCTATACATTATTGAGGCCCTATTGTACCCAGTACTAAGCACTGAGAAGGCAAAAACATCTCTTAATTCCATCAGTATTGATTTTTTCCCCTCTCCTCTGTCACTTCTTTGAAAACAATGGTTATGTATTATTTCTCCCCCTCTGCCCTGGGTTAGTTGCTAAGTGTAGGCTCTGAGTCTTGGTGACATTTTGTATAACAGAACGAAGTGTTACTTGGTCCTACAGTCTTCATGATCCTTGGTATTTTTTAGTCCCTTGTTGAAGCTAGTGTGTCAGCCTAACTTAACTCATTGAGGGTTCCCCTTGTTTTAGCTCCTGTGCTGTCTAAAAGATCAATACCTTGAACACATAGTAGGAGACCAGTACATATTTCTTGACAGAGTTGAAGTCTAATTTGCATAGTTTTTCTCTCCCTGTTAAAGGCCTCTGAGCTCCTGATAAAGCCCTCTGCACTGGCCCAAAGGGACTTGGTCTAGTGAAAAGAACTATACTTGAAGTCAAAAGACTGGCCATGTGCCAACTGTGTGCTTTCAAGGAAATTGCTGAACATGTGTAAGTCTCAGTTTGTTAAAATGGAGATAATGCCCACATTGCCTGATGTATAAAGTTGACTCGTGCTGTAATTTTATGTAGAAGTACTTGGAAATCAAAAGTGAGGGTCTGTTTAACGCAGGGGTCCTCAAACTTTTTAAACAGGGGGCCAGTTCACTGTCCCTGAAGCCCATTGGAGGGCCGGACTATAGTTTAAAAAATAACTATGAACAAATTCCTATGCGCACTGCACATATCTTATTTTGAAGTAAAAGAACAAACGGGGCAAAACACCCGGCAGGCTGGATATGTCCTCGGCGGCAGGCCGTAGTTTGAGGACGCCTGGTTTAAGGTATGGAAATGGTCAGACTTTTCTCCATTCAGGATCAAGCATTGTATTTGGATTTGAACTTAACTATGTAGCATTTTAGTGCTTCTTCTTCAGTAATTTAGTTTTATCTTAGAGTACAGAAGATTTCATGTAGATGATTGGTTTGTGGAGGCATAATTTAGGTGAATTAATGCAAACTTTAATGCATGCTTTATCTCCTTTTTCCTTAATCACAACACTATCTAATAAACGCCACTGTGGCACTGGGAAAGCCTTGCTTCTTTGCATAGTTTCTGGGATTCTCATTTATTCCCAGTATTATAAGTACAGTAAGTTATTTTTGAAACCGTTGTTTGGACCTTGGGGCAAATGGGTGAGTTTTATGGCCTTTTGCCTTCTTTATGGTATTTAGAAAGTCTTGATATCCACTGGGGACGAGAGAGTAGGTGTTAGAAAGATGAAAATGAAATAAATCCATCTGCTGGAATTCATGCTAGAAAACAGGGAAGTCCTAATTATCGAGGGGTAATGGACTTACAAATTAATAATGGAATATCTTATCTGAGGTATTCTGCATTTAAAACTCCTGAAGAGAGGCATTGTTACACATCACACAGCAGAAGCATGTGTATAAATTGATATTAGACTTAACCGATACTATTGATCCTGGATCTTGTTTACACAGATACTTCATTAACCATGGAGCCAGTGTGAGTATTGTGAATAGTGAAGGTGAAGTCCCTTCTGACCTTGCAGAAGAACCAGCCATGAAGGATCTTCTACTGGAGCAAGTGAAGAAGCAAGGTAACCTAGGGTGTCGGAGAGAGCCACATAACCAATCCCTGTGCTGTGTATAGCTTTCCTCATCTGACAGGAGCGGCTAAGAGCTAGTCTTCATTCGTGTCGTAACTCACCCACAACCCTATGTAAAATGCCAGTCATTCCTTGACTTTGTTGCTGTTGCTATTCAGAGGTTGTCTACCATCATAGTTAGGAGTGACTTGCCCGTCTTTGACAATGCAGATGATGCGTTCTTTGATGATATACTCATCAATGATATACATTGTCTTAGCTGGTACTCATCATTGCAGACTCAAAGAAAGACGGAGATGCTATATAAATTTGAGTATTGACTAGATTTAGTTTATTACTTATTACTGGTTTAGAACCTATGCATTGCCATCCTACCTGCACATTACCTGTACTAGTTTTGGGGGGTGAGACTCATCTGCTGTGGATTGTATAGCTCCAGTCACTATACTTCCCCACATATATAAATGAATGATAGAGGTAGTTTGTTTTGGGGTATTTTCTCCTGCTGAGAACTAGTTTGACGCTGGGGACGAGGGCCCAGTGCTTAAAGCACTCAGCTGTCAACCAAAAGGTGAGGGGTTGAACCCAGCTATGGCTCTGCAGGAGAAAGATGTAGCGTGTGCTGCATCTATAAAGATGGATAGCCTGGAAATTCCATGGGCAGGTTCTTCTCTGTCTCCAGGGTAGTCTGAGTTAGGACGGACTCAACAGCAGTGTGGTTTGGAATTATGACCATTCTTCTGGTAGTTGGTTGAAGTAAGAAAGCTAAATTTTAAGAATTCTTATTTTGTATTTTTGGACCACTGCATTTCAAGAAATAGGGCAAGATTCTTCTACAAAAGATCACTGAGTTCCTTTACTTAAAACATGTTGTGAATAGTAGACAGAGAGTAAGGAGAGCAGACTGTAGGAAGTATGTATTGACACCATTGTAAAACTCTGTGGACCTGATTTGTAGTGATTTTTCAAAAAATTATTTCTATTCAGCTACACTATAACACCATAATCTGCAGTTTATCCCAAAGAATTTAGCCCCAATGCCCTTTCCTTATGTGATTCTGTAGAATAAAAAACCAAAAACCAAATTCACTGCTGACCCAGAACTGCCCCTGTGGGTTTCCAAGACTATAACTACAAGAGCAGAGAGCCTTGCCTGTCTCTCCAGGAGCAGCAGTACAGTCAGCAATCCACATGCAACCACCACGCCTCCAGGGCTCCTCCTTCAACATCGGCGGGGCCCAGTTCCGCCACCCCATTTTATTTCATTCACATGTTTGTCCGAAGCTGCTTTTGTGCTGTTAGAGCTGAGGCGAGCAGTTGTGATAGGCGGATAACCTATAAATCTGAATATATGTAATACCTGGCCCTTGATAGAAAGCATGCCAATTCCTGCCTTAAAATAATGATGCACCTGGGCAGCAACTGCTTATGTCTATTGCCTTCCCGTGAATAGTTTTTGTGCTCTATTGAATCGAAGAAATGTATGCCTAGTAATCAGATAGTCCCTAAGACCTGCTTTACAACCTCTTTTTTTTTCCTCTTAAACAAACTGAGATTTTAAAAATAATTTTCATTTAACAACCCTGTTTCTATTTTGATTGCTGCCTTTTTATAGATAAGGAGCATGTTCTACCAGAAGAGTTAATCATATTTACTCTTCCCAAATCAGACAAGCATTTCTTCGGTAGATCTTAGGCTCTCATGGAAGGGAACAGACCATGATTTACAATGAAATTACGGGGTCTGAATTTTGGGCCTTTAATTACTTTTTTATCAAGGCAAACATCTACCTTTCTCCCTTACCAGCTCACATGGTGGAGAGTTGTTGGTTAGAGAGAGAAACCTATAAAATCTCTCTATAATGTTTCTTGGGGGTGGGGGGTGGATATCTAATTCCTTTAGGAATAGGCTAGTTTATAACTATCTGTTACCTTCCTACCTGTGTATTACCCATTCTGATGTTGGTATGAGACTTATCTTCTATGAATTATATAGCGTCAGTCACCGTTCTTCCCCATATATATAAATAAATGATAGAGGTAGTTTGTTTTCAAAGGTATATGTGGCAGTTAAATAATCTTCTGTCAGGCCTGGTAGGGCGTGATCAAGGGTTATGTAACCAAGAGGAATTACTGAAACCCAAATGAAGACTGAGCATGATAGTGG